ATAAATAATTCAAAATTTCCTTCCCTAAAGCAAGAGTCTAAGTTAATACGTGACATAATAATACTAATTTAAAATTTATTTCCTATCCTTAAGAAACAAATTTTGTTATCCGAATAATGGTCTCCCAATCAACTTAGTTTTTCGGTAAAACGATACACTATACCGATTTACAACAAGTATACCTTTTTTTATGTAGAATTGTCCAAGGAATCTAAATGATTAGGTATTAGGCCATTGACATAGAAGTTGGGGTAAAAATCCGCATTACTACCCATTCGTACACCACTAACATACAAAAATTTGGAAATTTTACAGTGAATTATGCACATGTGTAAATATTAACACCATAATAAATTTGAATCAATTTGTTATAAGTATGCCAAAGATTTCATAAATAATATTATCTTAAAACCCGACCAATACGGCCCTGTACAATGAAAACGGTGAGACTTACTCTTGCTCTATAAGTCAATTCTGAATTATTTATTGGATTCTATTTGTGGTTAAAGTTTGATTCATTCGAACTTAAACAGGCCTGTATAACATGTCATAGTTACACAGTAAAACATATTTTATATATTACTATATTTTTAGTGCAGGTCATTTTTAAGTGAAATTATTTTTGTGTTGAATTTTGAGTGAACTTATGATTTTAACAAAGAAGTGAGCTTATTAGCAGAATACACACAGAGAGATACACACAATATTGTGCATTTCTGAGTTGATAGAAGAAACACAAAGTTTGGACTCATTTACTTATAATTAAGAATTGATTTTAGTTACTATGAAGTGTGGTATACCAATATAACACACATGGTTTAACGAGCTAACTCAAAAATAAATCAGTATTACCAAAATTTATAGTGTCCCACAAGTAATACCTACAGGATTTGAATTTCGCGCCATTTCCATTCCTAGAAGTTGGCATTGTCAAATGTTGTAGTAAACACGTTGCGGTTAGATAAAATGAAGCGCTATCTATGAACGAGTGAAGATTGTGAAAATTAATTACAAGTACAGAGAATGTGTAGCTGAGACTGTGTGGAATAGAAGGAACGATCCGAATGAAATAACTGTGAAAAGATTAGTTGCCTAATTTGAAGAAATATGTTCGTTTGCAGACAATAAAAAGCAGGCCGGGCAGCCTCGCACTGGCCGTTCAGCCGAAAATATTGCAATGGTGAGTGATGGGGTGGCGGAAATTCCCGTAACGTTAGTGTGCCGTCCGTCGGTCACTACAATTAAACATTTCAAAAAGCACAATGCAGCAAATTTTAATAAAAAATCTGCATCTGCATCCATTTAAGATTCAGCTTACACAGAAATTGAAACCAGACGACCATTTAACCCGCCAGACTTTCGTTGATTGGATGTTGAAGAATCAACAAGTGATGTTACTAAGAAAATCATCTTTAGCGACGAGGCGCATTTCCATCTTAGTCGATATGTGCAAGCAAAGCTGTTGCTTTGGCCAACTAAGACAGAGACAATCCTCGGGTTATTCAAGAACGACCACTGTATACCCGAAGAGTAACACATTAGCGAGGTGATTGGTCCGTTCTTTTTTGAAAATGAGGCGGGAAACGCAGTGACTGTCAATGGAGATTGATATCGAGAGATGCTATTGAATTTTTTGTGGGCTTATTTGGATGGCATGGATTTGGACGACATGATTTGGACAACATTTGGTTGCAGTAGGATGGTGCTCCTGTCATACGGCACGTGAAATTTTTTACAGCAGAAATTTAATGGACGACTCACCTCACGTAACAGTGAAGTTACTTTGCCACCAAGATCACGCCATATTATGCCGTGTGGGGATTCGTAAAGTCCAGGGTTTATTCTGCTCAAATGAATACCATTCCTGAATACGAAATTCAGCGGCAGGTATGCGAAAGCGTGATGGAGAAATTTCTTAGTGAATTCGAGTATGCCAAATGAGTCGCAGAGGACGTCTGTCCGATATCATCCTTCATCTTTAATGACAATTGTAACACTTGTTTATTTTCAAAATATTGCAATAATAGGATTAAATATATATTTTATTTTGTAATGAAAGCTATCGTGGTTGCTTTGAATCAAACCTCAGCTGTTCACACATAATACGCCAGCCAAGTGTTTATTTGCTTTTGAGATAATGTAATTTATGGGTACCAAGATTTAGCCCGGGATGCCGAAACTAAGAGAGGGTGTTCTTTGTGACAGTGGTGCCTGGCCAGCGCCCGAATAAGGTTGATTATTATACTTATGTGTGAGCCAGCTTGAATACATTTGTTTAATGAAGTGTGAATTTGTGAGTAATATGCCATACTCATTTATGTTTTTGAAGACTCCAGGGCGCGCCACGTGTTCCCAACTGTGGTTCCTTCGAAGTGTGCCTTGTAAGTTCTACGGGGTCTTACCTGCGCTTCGATTGACATACTGTGTGGTGTTGAGGTAGGTGGCATAATAATATGACTCACACAACCGGTAGTTGGGATGCTAACTAGTTGGCGTCCGGGGAAGCCTCGACTTATTTCAGGTGACACTATCTTGTTGTTGAAGAAAGAATTATACATATTTGCTAATTAATATAATGGAAACGTATGGAGGAATATACCTTGAATCATAAAGTCTGGGGGAGTGTAACCCCCCGATGAGTTACCTATTTATTTGTTTTTATTGACAGAACAGTAACTTTGATATTAGTTCCATATACCCTCTTAATTTCTGGCGAATGACCCGGCTGTTGTCGAGATAAACTGCTTTGTGCTGACCCAAGTATTAACAATACCAAAAATAACATTTATTTTACAAAAGTATGTAAATATTAAGATTTTAGATATATATGAATATCCATTTTTAAAGTTCAAAGTCTATTATGCTCAAATGGATACCATTCCTGAATTAAAAGGCAGAAATTCAACCGCAGGTAAACGAAATTTTGATACAGAATTTAGGTATACGAAATGAGTCACGGAGAACATATGTCCGATATCTTCTTTCATATTTAATGGCAATGCCAACCCTTTAAAAACATGTACTTAAAAACTTTGCCAACTTTTTAATTAATAAAACAGCCAACAGATAGTTGTGTGATCATTACTCAACCAATAGTGTTGTTATTTCAGCACAATTGGGTGTATACTTACTCATCCTAAGAAATAGCTGTGTTGGTGTTAAATGAAAATTTACTCATTTTTTTTTACTTGGTATATTTGTAAATATGTTCATGTAAACATGAGTCACAGAACGTTTCATTTTCGAGATACAGTGTTAAAACTGAAAAAAAATCACATTTATTAAGATACATATATTTGAAGATGTTTGATTGATGAAATGTTGGAAAGACGGAAATACGTTTAATTGATTTTCTAATATATGAACCAGTGACGCAGAAACTGGGAGATAATATCATTAAAAAATCTGGAATTACAATACCACTGAATATTTTGGGAATTGAATAAGTTTCAACCTTAAATATAACGTAGTTAAGTATAAGTTCAAAAAATCGTTGGCGCAGGATTTTTTATTTTCTGAGGAATAGCTAATTTAAAATCACTATGCTAACTATTTTCTTACTTCTGATGGTTACAGTATATGTTCCAATCCAAAATGGATATACACAGACTTTGGTAATAACTTTTTTTTACATTTTTTACATGTACACATATATCATGTACAATATTTATCTTGCCGTTACCTATATTATTATAAAATTGCTTATGTTGACATTTACATAAAATAAATGTATTATTTGTTTAGAATATGTAAATATTTTCAACTACAACGCCAATTTGAGCAACTACACAAAATATAAAAATACTCCTGCAAACAGAAAGAACGATTTAGGTGCTGAATGTTATCCGCCGTTCCTTTTATAGTTAACAAGATACACATCGAATTTTTCCACCGCCCACGGCCCTAAAGGAAACGTCGAATCCTACACTGGTTGCTCCACCCTATAAACTAGCTACATCTGCAGAAATACGGCGATATAATAGTCGCAATAAATTCTGCTACGCCTAAAACGTAACGCACCGTCAGCATAATATATCTCTCATTTGTCAAACGCGAAATATTTTATTGGTTGCAGAGCTAACAAAAATTAATATCGGGAAATGTGTGTAACTGTTAATATTATTTGCGTTTCATTAGAATGTTCAGAAATCATTTTCCTATTTCACTTTGAATCCTGAATTTTATATATATATATATATATATATTTTTAATAATTATTGCCCTTTATTGAAGCAGTCAATTAATGTTGACCATACCATGTCTCAATGAAAATGATAGAAATATGTTAATCGCAAAATAAAAAAAAATCATGTGGCCGTGATTTTTATCCCAATTTTGTAGTTAAGGACTGCTCTAAGGTTTTTGCACCTCTTTCGCTTATTATATTTAACATACAGTTGCGTATGTCGCAATTTCCTGATTTGGAAAATGGGTAGAATTTGTCTACTCAAATGTGGTGATTTAATTGATATAACTAACTGTAGGTCTATTACTATCCTATCTAATTATGTTAAAGTCTTTGAAACTGCTTTATACAATCATATTTCCATGTCTATGAAAAAATTATTGCAACCCTGTCAACATGCCTTTATGGAAAAGCGTTCAATAATAACGAATTAATCACACAATACATACATATATCAAGTCATGATTCTATAGGTCAGGTGGATGTGGCATATATGTTTTTTTTTCTAAGACCATCGACACGATTAACCATACTGTAATGTTATCCAAATTAACCGAATTTGGATTATCATAAATCTACTACAGTTTTTAACACTTATCTAAAAGATCGACGTAATTTTGTTGCAATTAATGGATTCAAATGTGAGCTATTTGCGACTAAATCAGGTGTTCCTCAAGGGTCAAATCTTAGACCGTTATTATTTTTGATAATAACTAAATTAAAAATTAGTATTGCAATCTTGAACACCCAGAAGTACTTTGATAAAAACAGAAAAACAAAAGTAACGTTTCTTTAAACATTTATATTGTTTCAGAACCCATCACGGAAATCTTGGGCAGTCCCGAGCTCTTCATCAACATGGGTTCGACCATCAACTTGACCTGCATAGTCCAGTACGCCCCTGAACCGCCCCCCAACATCGCCTGGTCACAGAACTCAGAGGTGATCAATTTCGACTCGCCACGCGGCGGTATCAGCCTAGTCACTGAAAAAGGCTTCATCACCACCAGCCGCCTACTGATCCAGAAGGCGGGCCAGGGTGACTCAGGGCTTTACACCTGTACGCCGTCCAACGCCAATTCCGCCAGCGTCCGTGTTCATATACTAAACGGTAAGTACAGATATAAGTGTAAGAAGAGTATATTAAATATTATGTTATGTGTTTGCCAGAGATCGGTAAAACCCCTAACGTTCACTATCATTATACTGTTTTTTTGTACAATAGTATTAAATTACGTTTCAGTTAATGGTATATTATGCAAGGTATCCCACCAGATATCGCCACTATTGATATCTCGGAAAATACTGATCCGATAAATCTGAAAATTTGGCAACCAACGAAAGACACTAGGGCCACGCTAAAACATTTGGAACTTTATGGCACTTCCGGTTATACCGGAAGTCGACATTAACTCTCTTATTTTTGATGGGATACACTATATATTATTGCATTTTCGGATTCTACGTAAAATTTGAGGGTCACTTTATTAAATATTCTCCATACCTAGGAGTTATAGATGTTGAGATATTAATTTTTAAAGATACGGGGAGATGTCAGCTACTCTTTTCAGGAGCGTGATATCAAGAGGATTTTTGGTACCTCTAAAGGGCATAGATAACACTAAATTATGGTATACCAACAAATCAAAATATTTAATGCTAGGTGTTTCATTTTTGCTGTTACATTTCGATAACTTAAAACAGCTATAACTTTGTTAACTTAAATGGGACACCCTGTATTTTTTACTCTGTCGTATGCAGATTGAAATTTCCTTTCAAGCCATATAAGCATTTTTAGGGTTGCCTTTACTACTTTTAAAGATATTTTCAATTTTCTATTTTTTGGACAATTTTTCTAATACTCCATAATTTTGACCCCGGAAATGGAGAGACCGGAAAATGTTATGTTCGGATATGACCTTGAAATGACCATGAAGGTCTAGATCAAAGTTATAGTAGGATCGTATTCGATGCAAAGTAGAGCAAAAAATTGTCGGCCTTTTATCAAAGGAAAATCGTGTCATCATTTTTAGGAGGGGTAAGATGAACCATTTCAAATTTAAAATGAAATTGAATGTAAAATCTGAAATACCGCTGCATACGCACTGTGTTCTGGTACTAGCTGTAGTCGGCCAGGTGCATCGAATGTACGAAGTGGTCGGTTATGCGTCAAATACTAATCTGGCGAGCTTGATCGTAAAGCAGGGAACAATAAACAGTGGCGCATACAGAGGTGAAATGTAGTACATATGTGGAATTTAAATAACGAATTGGATTTATAATAAATTACATTTAAAACAAATAGTTTATGAGAATAAATGGATTTTTGTAGGAACAGGGTTCCAGACGTGAACTGATCTCTTCATCGCACCCCATTACGATTCTTTTTTTTATAAGGAGAACGAAGTTTCAAAGCAAAAACCTTGTATAACAGATATACTATAAATATTTACAGAATGAAAACAAAATATAAATCCTATGATATTATTCTATCAAATGAAAACATTAACAACAATTCTCTATCAATCTCAACAAAAAAATTTTTATCAAACAAGAAATATTAACAAATTATAAACAAAATATAAATTCTATGATTTATATACTGTACGCCGAACTACATTTTTCTCATCCTCATTTAATATTAATTCCTTCTTTCCACCCCATTTTTTAGGTTTCTTAACGTCTCCTTCAATTTTCTTCTCTCTTAAAATTTTGAAAACAGATAATTCGTTTACTCCAGTATATCTAGAACCAAACCAGTCTTCAGTTTCATGGGATGATCCTTTTCTAAAACGTTATAGACATTTAATAAGTATTATCGTTTTTTCTCTGTAACTTAATACAGATTTTTTTGTACCCACAGCAGTACATCCGGCTTGCGAACATCCAGGCACCGCCTCCATTTCTCCATATAACGACAACAGAGCAATAATAATACAAAAAACTTCACTTCACTAGCACAGAAAATATAATGGCATTCACGATTCACAAACAACAGCCCGAAACACAGCACACAAATAAAACACTAAAAACACTTTGGTTACGGAGCACAAGAAATATGATTTCACTCGCAAATTCTCAAATAAAAGCGCGAAACACACATACAGCCCGAACGAAATATAATTATACTTATAACAGTTATAACCTCACAAATATCGCGAGCGAGAAACACGCAGCACCAATACAACCGAAACGAAACTGACCACGCCGGGCCGGCACGCGCGCCGCCGCAACAAGCACAAGACACAAGTCATATGAGGGAGGATGAAGGGAGTAATAAATGTATTGTTGTCCTGCCGCCCAATGTGCGAAGGAGATGCCTTTGTTTTTCATTTTGTTCTTCATAAATATATAACTATTAATCCATAATACATAAAGAAATTATTCAATTTCCAAAACCCCCTAAAACGTGTTGCACTGATTCCCTTGACAGGAAATGATTTATTACTTTGCATCGAATATGATCTTACTATAGATATCAAAAAGTCTCAAAATGGCCTAACAGTACCGAAATGGCAGAATAACTCGCCAGGAAAAATGTTCTAGGATTCTTGATGGACACTAAATCGGTGACCTCCAAGGTCAGGAATTTGACCTCCGCCCTGACCTCAAAATTCTTATCATCCGATCATTTCAAGGTCATATCCGAACGTAAAATTTTCTGTTCTCTCCATTTCCGGGTTCAAAATTATGGGGTCCAATTTAAAGAAATTTTCGTGACCTTGATATGACCATGTTGGTCATGATCCAGGTCAAATTCAAGGATAGCCAGGGAAAAATCCTAAACCCTTAGGGCTTGATATGACCTTGAAGGTCATGATCCAGGTCAAATTCAAGGGTAGCCAGGGAAAAATCCTAAACCCCTAGGGCTTTACTTTTACGCTATCTCTTGAATATTCCCAGATATCCTGCCAGTCCGGTACTTTTGACCCACCCTGTATATTTGATACGCAGGGTGCAATTCTACTGAGAAAAGGGGAATTTTTAAGAAAAAAGAATAAATGTATACATTACGTTGTAACATTTTCCAAGGTAGTAAAGTACGACGTACGTAATGAAGGAAAAATTACATAATATATTACACAATAAGTGCGATAAAACACAGTTTCCACAAGTATTATATACAATACTCTATCTACAACACTGCGTTTTTTATATTTATTCGATTCATAAAAATTATTCTTTTAAACCATTACGCCACTGTAGCCTTTCGAGGTGGTCTGCAATTTTGTATTTGATGACAACTGTCTCTCTATCATTAACAATAATAAAATCAACCTAACTTGTCCAACCTTGCTAGATGTTACATTTTTTTCGTTGCTACAGTGTCATAAACAATATACCGTGCTGAAATTCACTATATGCTTGTATGTATCTATTAATGAGTCTTGCGCTTATCTTAAAAAATGCGTTAATATACATTTTAAAAGAATCAGTGTTAAAGCTTCCTTAAATAAGATTAACAAAATATAACAGTTTTTATGTAATACCATAAACCTTCTGACACTATTTCTTTTAATTCCTGCAATCTTCTTTATTGCGCTATAAGACATAACGCTTCAGGATTACTAGTTCCACTTCTCGTAGAAAATAATGTCGCGAGATTCTCAACAATGTAGCGCTAGCAGCGGTCGCATTTTTACGCTTTACAGAAAGCTGTCTGCTGAATAAACTAGGGTAAATATATCTTTTTTATTAGAAGTGCTCTGAAGTAAGTAGTTTTCTTATAGTTCCAGGAGAAACACCTGCAAGTTTATAAATAAAATTTTCGCTTCTCTTTGCTTTTATTCTGGATGGATTTGTACCTTTTCTAAACTCTTTACTTACATTCGTACGGCATTTCATTTTAAATGTGCAGTAACCATAAAAAGTCTATAAAATCTCCTAAAGAGTTGACTACGATGGTTAAAATTCTTATATGATAACTTACACTCATTAATTCAAGTATCGAATACTTCAAATGAATTAATTATGAATAATAGGCAGTAGTTTTACAGCTCTCACGGCCCCTTTTTCGGGTTGTTATACAGTGGATTGCACCTGGTCAGTGCCTGTTACAAACTTACATTCTCATAGCTTTAGTTAGGAATCTGCCCTTGTTGCTTCCGGGCTAGGCTTCGGGGAGGCTACCAAAACCCTTAGATGCATCCCGTTGTTCAGATCCGTTTTTATCGTTGCCGCTACGAACGGAATTTCCCATTATGGTGGTCCTCTATAAGTGGTTGCATCCATTGTTTCCACTTTACCAATGTTTTCATGACTAAAAGCGGCAGGGTGCCATTTTATTCTATTTCCATAGTGAAGCTGATGTCCTGGTGTACTCCACTGATGTGGTTTCGGAATCTTGTTACATCGTTGTATCTATGGGGCTCCATAATCAACGTATCTTCAGAATATCGGAGCCATTATTTTGGCTTTAGAGTTGCTGACTCCAGTGCTTTCTCCCTGAAGGCTTCCATGTAGATATTTGTCAGACCTGGAAATGGATAATAATAGCTGTTATTTCAGTTTGTTTTTAAAACTAAATGAGAGGTTGGTCCAAGTCTACTAAAAACTCATCCTTGTCTTGAACGATGAAACTGCAATGAAGCTCTTCTTTGACACATTTGTAAATAAAGAATTTGGCAATAAAATTTCCAGTGTTTCCTTACTGTGGGCCATCATTTCTACTAAATCTTTAACTCCAATTTCTTCATTTTCCTTTAGTGCTTTGATGGCTTGGACTTCTTTTCTAGTAAATACGAGTTCGTAGGATTTAACATCAGTTTAAAAAGATAATTAAATACAGCCTTATTAATAACAAACATGATAACAGCATGCTAACTAATGGTTACTAAGAGCATACTTACAGTATGCTAAGCAAATCATATTAATAATTAAATACTTAGAAACATGTAACAAACAACATGTTTTAGTACAATAAACATGACACCCTTAATTTTATTGTGAGAAATTTTTGTTATACTGAATTGAATATCCCTGAATATCTGTATTTTAACTACTGTTGGATAGTGATATAGTTTGTGTCTTTGTGGTGCAGTTGCCACTATGGATAAGGAAGAGAAAGTCCCATTTGCTCACCATTGTCATGGTTAAAATTACTACTAATTT